CAACACCCCTCCCCCACCCAAAACGCCTGGCCAAGCCCCCCTCCACAGCCAACCGCCCCCATCCAGCCAACACCCCCCAAAACCCTCCAGCCAAAGCCCTGTCCAGCCAACACCCCCCCCAAACACCCGCCTAGCCAAGCCCCCCTCCACAGCCAACCGCCCTCATCCAGCCAACACCCCCCCAAAACACCCTTCAGCCAAAGCCCCCTCCAGCCAACACCCCCCCTCCAGCCAGCCAACCTCCACCCAGCACCCCTCCAAACCCCAGTTATTTCCACCAGCCAACCCCCTCCAGCCAACCGCCCAGCTCCAAACCCATTGCCCCCAAGAAAAACACCCTTTCAGCCACCCCCCTCCACCAAACCCCCCTTTCCAACCCTTCCAGCCAACACCCCCCTCCAACTTAAGAATATTCAACACTGAATTAAAAACACTGAATTGCATAAACTTTCCAGAACCCCAAGCCCGAAAACACCAGAACAGGAAGGGTGGGGTTTGGCTGGAGGGGGGTTGGCTGGAGGGGGGGGTGTTGGCTGGAGGGGTGCTGGAGGGGGGTGGGTTTGGCTGGAGGGGGGGTTGGGGGGGAGGGGGGTTTGGTCGGGTTTGGCTGGAGGGGGGTTGGCGGTTGTTGGCTGGAGGGGTGCTGGAGGGGGGTTGGCTGGGAGAGGAAGGGTGAGGAAGGTGGGGAGGGGGTTGGCTGGAGGGGGGGGGTGCTGGAGGGGGGGTGGTGGAGGGGGGGGTTGGGAGGGTGGGGTTGGCTGGAGGGGATGGAGGGGGGGGTGCTGGAGGGGAGAGGAAGGGTGAGGAAGGTGGGGAGGGGGTTGGCTGGAGGGGGGAGGGGTGCTGGAGGGGGGTTTGGTGGAGGGGTTGGCTGGGTTGGCTGGAGGGGCTTGGCTCGGCTTTTGGGGGGGGCTGGGGGGGGAGGGGGTGTTGGCTGGAGGCGGTTGGCTGGAGGGGGTTGGTTGGTGGAAACGGGCTGGGTTGGAGGCGTGCTGGGTGGAGGTTGGCTGGCTGGAGGGGGGGGTGTTGGCTGGAGGGGGCTTTGGCTGGATGGGGGCGGTTGGCTGTGGAGGGGGGCTTGGCTAGGCGGGTGTTTTGGGGGGGGCTGGGGGGGGGAGGGGTTGGCTGGAGGGGTGGTTAGGGTGTTTGGCTGGGGGCTGGAGAGAGGGCGGTTTGAGGGTGTTGGCTGGAGGGGGTTTGGGTGAGAGGTTGGTGGGGGGGGGGTGTTGGCTGGAGGGGGGGGTTGTTGGCTGGAGGGGGGCTGGGCGCGGGAAGGCTTGCTGGAGGGTCTATTTCCGGATGTTTAAAACGCTGGGCGGCCTGACGCCGCGCTCCACGGAGGTAGTATGAAATACCTGTTTGACTGTTTAGATGTCCGGGTATTTAAAAACAGGCACCGTAAACTTTGGTCCCCAAGGAACATGTGGACGAGGTTGTGTCGGCCTTCCAGGATCTCATGGCCTCGTCGCTTGGAGCAGCCAGCGGTGGTGATTTGGGTGTTTAGGGTTTAGGGTTGGGGGTTTAGGGTTTAGGGTTTGCGGGGGAATAATTTGAACTGTTGTGGTTTAGGTGTCGGGGTTCGGGGGGTCTATGGGGGGGATGGGGGGGGGGGGGGGGGGGGGTACAGGGTTCACAGTTGGGGGATTTTTCGGGCTTGTTCCGGATTGAGTGTGGAGCTCAGGGCATTGACATTGAGGTTTCAGGAGGTGTCCGGTTTAAAGACGTCAGGGCGTGTGAGATTCGGGTTTGTGATGTGCGCGCACAGTACTTTGGCAAACCTGGGAGCAGACCAACGACATCGCAGCAAGCGCAGGGCACACATCTGCGTGCGGAACCTTCAATCTCGTCAGTGCATAGTTGGTGGTTGCGACGAGTTCATTGAAGAGGCAACCCTAAACCCTAAACCCTAAGAGGCACGCTAAGAAGAGCATTCGGCCACGGCCTCGGCGTCCTCGGTGCTTTGATGAGGAACACAACAGGTGCGATGTCGCATACAAGCATGATGGTTGCTCCTGATCTACTGTTTGCCGAAGAACCCCCCCCCCAGAAAATTAAATGTATCATTCCTTATACGGGCAATACAGGGATAATTGTTTCATTTCTGTTTGGGGGGTTCTTAAGCAGATAGTAGTGATAGAATTCTGTTTGGGGGTCAGGTAGGGCTACTTGAGATACGCCACACGTTTTCGAAACTAGCATGTTTGCCTGGGCTGTTAGTTAATGCAAGGGTGTGGGTGGGTGTTGTGTAAAACCCCAACACCCTAAACCCCAAACCCGAAGCCCTACGTACCCAAAGGCTCCCACGTAGCCCCTATAGCTAACCCAGAAAGGAACAACATTGGAGCCTTCAGGTGAACCCTAAGGCTTGTACCCTAATCCCTAAGCCCTAAAACCCAAACCCCAAACCCTAAACCCCAAACCCTAAACCCTAAACCCCAAGCCCCAAACCCAAAAGCCTAAACAAGCCCAACAGCTCATTCTCAGGAAGTTCCCAGCGCTTCCGGAGCCACGGACAGAGGGCGACGCGAAGGGGAAACTCAAAGTCCGAGGGGGTGGGAGGGCTTAGGGTTGAGGGTTTAGAATAGGACTAACAGGGTTTAGGGAAAGGTGTCGAGCCCAGTAGCAAAAGAAGTACAGGGTTTCAGATGCAAGAAGGGTGTTGGATTAGACAGGGAGGAACATGAAGCTCAACACCCATTCCACTATGATGTGCGCGCCGTCATTGCCAGAGCGTTTTCTCTAAGGTATGGGCAACCCCCCTAAACCCTAAGCGTTCGCCGTAACAAGGGAGTCTGAGCTTGCATTTTGCCCAAAGGCTCCTGTGTAGTACCGTTTTGGGTGGTATACGAGAGCCCCCCTACATCGAACCCAACAAGGAACTACATTTGGACCCTTCAGGTAGGGTTGAATCCGAGGTTGGGAGGTCGTAAAAACCCTAAACCCTAAACCCTAAACCCTAAACCCTAAACCCTAAACCCCAAAGCGATTTCGGGTTTGAGGGTTCCGGACTTTGGGGCGGAGTTCCTGGGCAGTTCGGGTGCCCTAAACCCTAAACCCTAAACCCTAAACCCAAAATCCTAAACCCTAAACCCTAAACCCCACCAGACCCCCCACAAACATTTTTTGCTTGTGAGTTGACCCTGAGCCGCAATTTAAACCGCACTTTTTTTTGTGGGGGATGTTTATCGGGATGCGGACGTAGAGATCGTAGACTTCCCAAAGGTCTTCCTTAAGAACCCAAAACCTACTTGAATGCCAGGCTACCTAAGAAACCATAAGGAACAAAAACAATAAACAAAAGCAAACAAAAAGAAAGCAGGTTTTGAGTTCTTAAGGTAGCTGCCCTTCTTATAAAGTTGAACTCCCAACCAGGGTCCTCCCCAGAAAATCAGAAGTTCAACACATCGAAGCAGCTGCCTTCAAGAAGTGGTGACTTTAAGGGCTTTCGAGGGAGGCACCCTAAACCCTAAACCCTAAACCCTAAACCCTAAACCCTACTGAACAAGGGGCTTCACGGGCTTGACATGGGGGTTTACGAAAACAAGGGACCCAGGGACCCTAATACAAACTCACGCCCCCCCCCCCCCCCCCCCCCAAATAGTAGGTTAGGATAGGATTCCCATAGAATACGGACCCCTAGCTGGAGGTCCAACTTACTTTGTGATTTTTTCTTTAGGGTTTAGGGTTTAGGGTCGAGGGTTTAGGGTTTAGTTAGGGTTGAGGGGAAACCCCAAACAAAATAATGAAGAAATAATCCCTGTATTGCCCTTATAAGGAATTACTCTTTTAACATGTATAAGGTAGTTCATTCTGACAGTTTCAACTTTTGTTTCCTTGGGTTATGGGCCAGTAAGGCTAGGAGCCGTAATTCCTTTTTTTTAGGGTTTGGGTTCCCTTTGAGCGCCTTGAAACCCAAAAAGGGCCGCCTTTCATTCCGAGATTACTCTTGGGCCTAGCAAAACCTAAACCCCAACCCTAAACCCTATAACCCTAAACCCTAGCCCTAAACCCTATAAACCCTAAACCCTAAGCCAGTATCCCTTTGAGGTTCTGGACGGTTCTGAGGCACACAAGGAACCTGCCTCGCTTCAGGCTTTGCTGTGCTCCAGACATGGAATCTTAGGGTAGTTTCATGGGCGTTGGATATCAAGGGATAGAAACCCCTAAAGTTGTAACCCTAAACCCTAAACCCTAAACCCTAAACCCTAAACCCTAAACCCTAAACCCTAAACCCTGTGCTCCTAACATGGCCCTTATATTATCCCTTCGGGATCCCTACAAAAGGGTCCCCAAGAACCCAAGGGTACAACCTTAAGGGTCCAAGGTAGAACCCCTAAGATACTATGGTCCCTTACCTCCTTGAAAGGGTTCTGATGTATGGGCCCTTGGGTTCTATAGGGTTTACAAGGGGTCTGTAAGGGGTCCCCTTTTAAAGGCCATATTAAGGGACCATGTAACTATTATAAACCCTAAACCCTGAACTCCATATTCAGGGACCATGTAGCGACCCTTAGTTTGAACCCATGGCGATGGCGATGGCGGCGGAGCATCATGTGACCACGCTGCCGCGCAGATGTTCACAGGCATCTCATGCAAATCGCTAATTTTACAGTAGCTGGTAGATGTCTATACACACGCAAACATATATATATATATGTAAATAAATATATATATATATATATATATATGTATATATGTATGTATAAATAAATATAAAAATAAACATAAATACAGATGTGCAAACATATTTTTGCAAGTTCTGTCATAAGAAACCATGGTATGATAGTATGATAAGCCGTGGTTTGCGGAGGTCAGCTTCCATCCGGTTGAGTGGCTGAGCACAAGACACCTAGCCTGATGCCAGCATACCCTTGCTGCGCGAGACCGGCCCTAAACCCTAAACCCTAAACCCTAAACCCTAAACCCTAAACCCTAAACCCTAAATCCATCCATGAGCCATTTTGGCTTGTCATAGCACGAAGCTGCCGGCCATCATAGCCATGGTGATTCTAGTGCCGGAAATGGTGAGCAGAATGGCTGCAGAGCATGCGAAGTTCCTTGGGGACGACATGAACCCCAAAAGGGTTTTGATGGTCCCCTAAAAGGATGTAGGGTTTAGGGTTTCGGTAGATACCTTAATAGGAATTATAGTAGTATAGGGTATACGGCACCCAATTTTTGAGGTTCATTCGGTCCCCAAGGTTTCAAGACGAAGAGTACGCGAGTGTGCCGGAAGAGGCCAGCAAGGGCGAAGATGAAGGACCACCTCCTCGGGCCCTAAACCCTAAACCCTAAACCCTAAACCCTAAACCCTAAACCCTAAACCCTAAACCCTAAACCCTAAACCCTAAACCCTAAACCCTAAACCCTGCAGTGCGGGTGGCGAAACACTAAGCCCTAAACCCTAAACCCATGAAGGACCACCTCCTCGGGATCATGTCTTGCTCTCCGGTCGCTTCACCACTGTGCCTTGGCGGGTTTAGGGTTTAGGGTTTAGGGTTTAGGGTTTAGGGTTTAGGGTTTAGGGTTAGCGTGCTTTCTGTAGGTCATTTCTGTCCAGAAACAAGCTGAGATGTGCATGTCTACTTGTAACTCGCATTCCTGGAAGGACAATCCCAAGATCAAGAACTACATGGCAAAGGTTCAGCGTGAGCTCAATGCGCTCGGAATCGCCACCTTCATGGTGAACACAAAACGGGACTTTGGCGCGGAGACGATGCGTGGGCTCCTTGGGGACCAAATGAACTCTAAAATTTGGGTCAGATACCTATACTACTATAATTCCTATTAAGGTATACGAACCATAAACCCTTTTGTTAGGGTTCATTTCGTCCCCAAGGCTGGGAGGGGCGAGATGCATGGTGGCATTTTGTAACTCGAGCTATGGCGAGAAGACGAGTGACACCTACGAGACGTACTGTGAGCTGAAGCACGCGTACGAAAATCATGAGATCGACCTCATTCCGGTGCAGTTGTGCACGAAGTGGCCACCTCAACCCCCTGGCCAGGCAGGAAAAGACTTGTGCACCTTCGTGCTAGGGAAGAGCAAGGTGAAGATTAAGGGCCTGGAGAGCGACGACACTTACAAGGCCGCCCACAAGTTGGCTGCAGACATCCGTGACCACATCAAAGGCTTGGGCGTTTCTCGGTCCTTTTCGGCTTTCGATCTGTAGGTTTAGCGAGCGTTCTTTGAGAGGCAAGAGGTACCATGATTTGTAGTCCAGGAAAAGCTGAAGTAAGGTTTTGGATCAAGTGGGCCGTGAACCCCCGCTGGCTGCCGTGCAGGAAAACGAGTGAGGGCCAATATCCTGTTGGCTCACTTTTGTGGTCTTGACTAACATAGTTGGACATTTTTGTCAGTTTCTTCCCACATACAGTCGCTCAATTGCTGAATGCCACCAGTTCCGGCAATATACAGTAGCATTTTTTGGCTGGACCTGGCCTGGCAGAGCCATCGAGATTGTTGAACAATGTCGATTCTAAAGTCGCCCACGCGTGCTAGCCACACGGGCTTGCCATGGCGCGCATGTCGAAGATGTGCTTTGCCACCCCCCCCCCCCCCCCCCCCCCCCCGCCACCCCACCTTGAGCAGGCAATGAGCCGCTTCAGGAGAAAGCACGAAAAAGGGTTTAGGGTTTGGGGTTTAGGGTTTAGGGTTTAGGGTTTCGGTTTAGGGTTTAGGGTTTAGGGTTTAGGGTTTAGGGTTTAGGGCACATGTTCCACAGATTGGGCTGCAGTCCTCAACTGGTAGGTCAGGTGCCGCAAAACCCCTGAGACCCTGAACCCTACGGCCCTATGTCATGTGGTCATTTCTCTAAAATCTGGGTCCCTTTTGGGGTCCTATTCTAAGACGGCCCCTCTTATTCAGCGTACCCAAAAAAGGGACCCTGGGTTGAGGGTTTTGGGTTTACGGTGTCGGGTTTAGGTTTGAGGGCTGGGGCTTGTCTGGCAGCACTGACAGGAGTCCGGATGCACAAAGGGCTGAGGGGATGCGTGGCTCTTGCCCCAGGAACCGGATCTGAGGAGGTATTTTGGAGGCTTGAAGAGTCCTGGGTTTCAAGAGTTCGGGACAGTTTTGGACGTGGTTTTCCCTGTGCCCCCAGTTTCATCGACTTCAATGTACAGCGTTGATTCTTGGGCCCTTTGGGGCCACCGGGCCGGGTTTAGGGAACGAGTCCTAAAACTCTGAGGCCCAGAACCGCCCCTCTGCCTGTTTCCCGAAAGCAAGGTGGCCACGTCGCGGCCAGGTACCTTCAAGTTCGACAGGAGGAACAACTGAGAGGCTTCACCAAAGTAGTCCCTAGATCAATAGAGCAAGCCCTAAACCCCAAACCCTAAACCCCAAGCCCCAAACCCTAAACCCTAAACCCCAAACCCTAAACCTTAAGCCCTAAACCCTAAACCCTAAACCCTTGGGGCAAGGCCCGCAGCAAGGGAGGTCCCATCTTGCTTGAGAGTAGAGACAAGCAGTCGAGAGGGCCAACTTGTGATACTCCACACGGGGCGAAACTAGTCACACACCCTGTACTACCCAAAGACTCCAATGTAGTTCCTTTTTGAGTTAGTTATAGGGGGTTCTAGTATACTACCCCAAAAAGGTACTACATAGGAGCCTTTGGGTACTACTGGGTTTTGGAGTACTATACTTTAATACTTTTTTGGGTTCTGGGTTCCTATTATGAACAAGTATATGCTTTTTTTTCAGGGTCTACTCCAAAGTAGGGGCTATAGTTCCTATTAAGGCGGCTATATGTTGAGGCATATACAGGGGCTTATATAGCGGAATATGAATAAGGGTCTTTCTTGGGGTTGTTTAATACCTCGGTAGGCATTTTGGGACTTTTTTGATATGGCCCCTTATCGGGTTTAAGAGGATCATATTCCGGAAAATTTTTCAGATGGTTTTAAGGGCCATCGTAGCAGTCTGTTTGCCTGGACTGTTAGTTAATATGAGTGCGTGCGAGCAAGCGTGGGAGTGGGCGAGTAAGCGAGTGAGTGAGTGTACCCTAAACCCTAAACCCTAAACCCTAAACCCTAAACCCTAAACCCTAAACCCTAAACCCTAAACCCTAAACCCAAATGCCGGGACGAAATGTGCTGAGGGCAGACATCCGGCCCATGAAGCCTTAACTGCCAGGTCCTTAAAATGAACCTCTTAAAGCCCAAATGCCTCCCTCAAGCAAACCTCGCCAAGGGCCTGATAGCAAGAATGTTTTGGGGTGAGGAAATATATTTGGGGTTCTGGGTTTTGTAAGGGTTTAGAGGCCTGACGAACAAGTGATGTAGGGGTTTCGGTCCAGGAATCGGCCTCGCCTTGCCGTCAATGTGTGGGCATGAGCCATGGCCACTAAGGGCAGCAGTCGAGTCCCTTGTGAAAAACAGGGGGTCAGTTTGCGGGCCGAGCGAGGGGTTTGGGGACTTTTCTTCAGAAAAAGGTTTGGGTTTGGGTTTAGGGATGTTTAGGCCGACGGGTCAATTACCGTCGTGCGTTTTGCACACTTTTGACTGCGGTTGGTTGGGGGTTTGGGGGGGTGGTGGAGGGGTGGGGGGGGGTTTGGTTGCGCCTTGGTTGTCGCAGCTTCCAACCATTCCTAACTGGCCACTCGAACACTTCGACCGCCGTACTGCCTATTAACCCCGTTCCTTCTGTTCCTGAACCTGGAGCCTTCGCCACTTTGGGTTTGGGGGGGAAGTGGGGGGGTGGGGGAAGTGGGGGGGTGGGGGGGGGGGGGGGGGGGGGGGGGGGGGGGGGGGGGGGGGGGGGGGGGGGGTGGCAGCTTGTGACCAGACGGACGTGCGCCAAACAAGCTTTCCAGTGCCATTCTTAACTCCTGAATTCTTGCCCTGCCTTCCTCTAGCCCGGCAGAAGACACTCGTCAATCCTATACTCAGACCCCTGAACCCTAAACCTCAAACCCCCCAAGAGGCCGACCAGCACAAATCCCTTAGCTCTTCACCAGGGTCCCTGAAGCCTGCTGCCCCCCCCTACCCCCCCCTTTTCCTGGTGCTTCACGGCCAAGAAGAACCGTGGACCGCAAAGCATTCAGGGAAGGGGTAAGCCCTATTCCCATTAGCCCAAATTTTTACGATATTGCTTTACAGGCAACAGCGTTTTGCATTGAAGCGGCGCATGCAAGCGAAATAGCACCAAAAAAACACAAACATGGGTTTTTTTCGAAAAACCACGTTATTGCACCGTGAAACCACGAAAACATCGGCATACGCAGTGTTTTCGGCCTGCGAGCCACCTTCAAAACAAGACACGAAAAAAAGGCATGCGCGATCACCGAAAGTACCACGCCTGCCATGGTTTTCACAAAACGGCCTCTGAAACTTGCACTTTTTTTTGGACTAAAACCACGTTCAAAATCGTGCTCCCGCCTAGGCCAAATGCTTATTTGCAAAAAAAAAAAACGCACGACGGTTAACGCCCCGTGCGGATGTTTAGGGGCCGAGGTTCAGAAGCTGAGTTTTGGTGTTTGGGTTCAAACATGGCTTTGGTTCTTGTGCTCTTACAACTTGGCCCAGAGCGAACTCATTGTTAGGCTTGCCTTATTTTGTTGGGAGTTTTCCGTGATCCCACGCCTTTATTCCTGGGTTTGAGAGGTTTAGGGGTCTGAGGGTGTGGAGGGTGTTTCAGGGTTTAGGGTTTGGGGTGCAGGGTTAAGGGTCCGACAGTCTTGCGCAAAAAGGCAATATTCCATTTTTCATGTTGCTGAGATGTAGAGTTGTTTCGGCCTCAGCGTCCCTTCTCGCTTGCTTTGGGCCCTAAACCCAAAACCCTAACCCATCCTTTCTGCGAGGGCTTGTGTTGTCCATCAGCTTTCCATCAGACCCTTCCCCCGTTTTCTACCAGTCCTAAACAGGGATCCGAGATTGCTTGAGCCCGAAACCCTGAACCCTAAACCCTAAGCCGTGCAACAAAGAGAGCATGTGTCGACCCTTGACCGCCAGCAAGTGCCGTAGAATCAGAATGTTGCCAATGCTCCCAATAGGGTGCCCCCTATTGGGGATATTCCTCTTAGGGGGCTACACCTCTGTTGCCCTAAGGCTCTAAGGACACTCTTATTTCAGGGTTTTTGGTCCCAAACGCCTTCCTATATACGGTTTGTTGGTCTATTTTGAGCCTAAGGGTTAGGGATATTCCCCTTAGGGTCATATACCTACACTGCTATAATCCCTTAAGAGGTACATGGACCATAAACCCTTTTAGGGTTCATCTAGTCCCCAAGGTAGCGATATTCCTCTTAGGGGTCCTAAACCCGAAACCCTAAACCTTAAGCTCTAAACCCTAAACCCTGACCCCTAAACCCTATACCCTAACCCCTAACCCCTAAACCCTAAACCCTAAACCCTAAACCCTAAACCCTCGGGCCATGGTCAAGCGCGTGGCCATCATCGGCGGCGGCGTCAGCGGTGCCGTTTGCGCCTCCACGCTTTGCCGCGAAACTGGTGCCGAGGCCTGCCGAGGAAGTCTAGGGTTTAGGGTTTAGGGTTTAGGGTTTAGAGTTTAGGGTTTAGGGCTTAGGGCTTAGGGTCTAGGGTCTAGGGTTTAGGGTACCTCAAGAATCCCAAACCTACCTTTTTTCATCATAGGTTATCCAAGACTCCTACAAGGGGTAATATAACAAGAAGCTACAAAGGAGTTATCTGAGAATCCTACACGGGGTTATGTAATACCATAAGAACCTGCAGGAGAGTATGTTTGGGGTTCTCAAGGTGGGTTCTAATGAGGCTCGTATGTGCGGTTCTTAGAGGGACATAGGAAATTTTCAGTTAGGGTTTAGGATTTCGGCACCAAGTTGGATCAAGGAGCGGGTGATGGCAAAAAAGATTGCTCTCATTACTCTCGCAAGAAATCTTGATAAAGACCTCAAACCCTCGACCCCGAAACCCTAAACCCTAAACCCTAAACAACCCTAAACCCTCCTAAACCCTAAACCCTACACCCTAAACCCTAAACAACCCTAAACCCTAAACCCTAAACCAAAGCCCTAAACCCTTCAACCCTATGCGTCGCTATATGCTTTGAGAAGAGAGCTGCCCTTTGAGGGCTCATTTCAGTCATCTATATATATATACACATATATATGTATATATATATACAGTATGTCTATGAACCGTAAGCCCTTTTAGGGCTCATTTCTACACATATAATTCCTTTTAAGGTCTATGAACCCTAATCACCAGCCAAATCCGACCCCCCTCCCCCACCCTGGTTTTTAAAAGGCGCTCTGTTAGTCCAGGCTCCCTGTGGGGAGCATGAGCAAGCGCGTTTCAGCCGTCATCTTTCGAGCGGTTTTTGCAAAGGTGCATCTCCGTAGAGGTATCCCACTTCTTAAGGTCTTGACCACAAGTAAGAAGTCCCTTTACTAGGTACGATGATTTTGCATTCCAGAACTTTGTCGGCAGTAGTGGCAGACTGAGCGGGGGACGGAGTGAGGCACAAACTGCAGCATCAGGAACAACAAGTTTGTTCCAAGAACGGTTGCGCACAGTTATGTGTTTAAATATTTTGCGTCTTTAGTAAATACTCCGTTCTTCTTGTAACATGTGTGGAAATTGTATTTAATAAATATTTTTAGTTTTTAAAAACCTTGCTCGTGTCAAAAACGCGCTGCTGGTCCGCCATGTTTGCCCTGGAGTTCGCCCGTAGCACCGTGTGTCAGTTTGGGGGGTGCGGAGTGCCTCTGAGATATGTGTTGCACAGGCGGTCGATGCCGACAGAGTCATTGTCTGGGGTTCCATTCTTGCAGTCTTGCGCAGTTTGGGGTGAGCTCATGTTTGTTCGTTGCAAGCCAGTGCGGCGCGTTCCTGTGGAAGTTACACTCGATTCTATCGCCCATCCAAATTTCCTGAGCAGGACGCTTGTTCCAAATACCTTCTAAAAGGCTTTAAGTGGGGGACGGGGGTCGGATTTCTGCGGTTACCTAAACCCTTTTTTGGGCTCATGTCGTCCCTAAGGTCATGCGGCCCTCAAACCCCTAAAACCCTAGGCCCAGCGATCGCAGAGCTCCGGCCACACCTCCCAAACCTGTCCTCTGACCCGACTCCCTGGAGACCCAAGGATGCCCTCAGCCTAAAACCCTAAGCCCTAAAACCTGCTTGTTTGTAGGTTCTGAAAAACCCCCCTTGTAGGATTCGTAGGTAACCTACAAGAAAGTAATTGTTAAGGTACAGACCCAACCGTGTGGTGGATCATATATTCATCCCGATTTGTCCTCCCTCACCATTTCCCAAAGGGTCGATGTACCTTATTATGATATACAAACCCTAAACCCTAAACCCTAAACCCTAATACTTCGGCCCCCAAGTCCTTATATGGGAGGTACTTTAAGGCCCAAGTATATCCTATTTAGGTGCATGGACCCTTAGGGTTTGGGGCACCTAATAGCCTCAAAACATGGTCCTACTAGGGTTCTAGGGTTTGGGATTTATAGGGTCTAGGGTTTAGGGTTTAGGGTTTAGGGTTAGAGTCACAACGACACCCTATCTGCAGGTCACCGTCTTCGACCAAGGCGCTGCGGAACAATCAACCCATGGGCTTTTTGGACGTTCTTGTTCGGATGCTTCAGTTGGTGAGGGACATTGGGTAGCTTTAACCCCTAAACCCTAAACCATAAATCCTAAACCCTAAAACCCTAAAAGCCAAAAAGCCTAAACTCAGGAGTTCATGCTCTTCTCTAGCATCAGCACCCCAAGAGCCCTAAAGCCGAAACCCTGCACCCATCGGGTGCCCAGCAAACCCTTTCACCCTCAACCCGAAACCCTGAACCCTGAACCCTAAACAAAAGACCAACTTAGCAGTTGTGAGCCTTGGCAAGGGATTTGGATCAGCGTCTTGAACTCCGCTTGGGTGCCTTGGGCTGTTGGGCTCGGGGTCTACTCTTAACGCCTAGAAGCCCTAAACGCGGAACCTCTAGCCCTAGCCCCTTCGGAGTAGGAGCCCAAGCCGTACTGGGAGGCTCCAATGTAGTTCTTTTTTGGGCTGGCTCTATAGGGGATTCTAGTATACTAATTACCCCAAACCCCAAACCCCAAACCCCAAACCCCAAATCACAAACCCTAAACCCTAAACCCAAAACCCTAAACCCTAAACCCTAAACCCTAAACCCTAAACCCTAAACCCTAAACCCAAGGTTACTACATAGGAGCCTTACCCAGAGAAGCGCCCACGAGACTTCTTGCATCAGGCCGCCAGCTGGGGGGCCGATGTGGTCACCGCCGTAGCTTGTCTGTAGGGTTTAGGGTTTAGGGTTTAGGGTTTAGGGTTTAGGGTTTAGGGTTTAGGGTTTAGGGTTTAGGGTTTAGGGTTTAGGGTTTAGGGTTTAGGGTTTAGGGTTTAGGGTTTAGGGCAAGACGATACCTACCCCTAAGGGTCCATGTGCCCATATAGTATAGATTTGGGCCCTAAGGCTACGACACAGAGGAGCCCCGGGTAGGCCCAAGTATGTACTATATAGGTACATGGACCCGTTGGGTACTTTTTGTTGCAGGTTCTTAGTATAAAACCCCTTATGGGGTTCTTAGGTGACCTACAAAACAGGAAGTTTTGGGTTGTTAAGGTAGAACAAGTTGGATCTAGTATCCCATGCTACTCTCTCTGTTGCACGGAGCAGAAATTCATCATTTCGACCTGGGGTACATGGACATGGATCCTTTGCGTTTCTATCGAAGGGAGGGCCTCAACCTTTCTGCATTTGTGAGGGTTTAAGGTTTTGGGATTGGGGCACCTGCATGATTGCACGTGTATGCGCTATGGGGGTCCCCCAGTCAGACTTTGAACTTTGACAAGTTATTATTCTCAAAAGGGACCTCCCCCAAGCGAGGTTGATGTAGAAAAGCCCTTAGATGTTTATTTCATGCGTCATGAGTAAGTTCACAGACGAAGATGTATACATGCATAGTATGTATATGTATTTAGCTGTATATACCCTTTTCAGAAGAAGGACCCCTTCTTTGTCAAGAGCGTCGTACTTCCTCCTTTAGGGTCTTGTGAGCCTCCTGAGCAGGTGTCACGGCAGAGGGCACCCACCCGGCCCCGCCTGAAGGTGCGGCTTTTGCTTTCGACCACGGTTGTCAGTGGCTTGGGCTTCCGTTTTGGCGCCCCAAGGGGTTTAGGGTTTAGGGCTTGGGGTTTAGGGTTTCTAGGGTTTAGGGTTTAGGGCTGAATCTAATTGGAACCATGGGCCCTTAGAATGGTCCCTTACCCTTGTGAATCAGGATTTGAAGTGTGGGCCCGTAGTTGGGAACTAGGACGGAGAAGCTACCTAGGACCCGAACGAAGATACTGGTTTCCTGTATACCGCTTCTCTTCGGAGTCGGGAAAACCCTAAACCTAAACCCTAAACCCGAAACCCTAAACCCTAAACCATCCTAAACCCTAAACTCTTGCGAGCTTGAGGCGCCCGAAGCACTAAAGCTGCTGCCCTTCAAGAAGCCAGAGCCGCAGCAGTAGTCAAAGCACCGAAGCCCACCGAATTAGAATAGGGTTTTGGGGTTAGAAAAAATAATATGATGAAGGGACCATAAGGGAATGCTGTTAGTAATTATTCCGACCCAAAGCTGATAGTACTTGGTCAGACTGACAGACCCAAAATGTTAAACCCTAAACCCTAAACCCTAAACCCTAAACCCTAAACCCTAAACCCTAAACCCTAAACCCTAAACCCTAAACCCTAAACCCTGTTTGTTCTCCGGACTGACTATTGCGGTAGAGGCCATTTGCCTTGCTCCCGAGGCCCTGAACCCTAGATGCCTTCAAGCTTCCGGTGTAGGCTTGAGGGTTTAGGGTTTAGGGGTTAGGGTTTAGGGGTTGGGGGTTAGGGTTTAGGGTTGAGGGTTTAGGGTTTGGGGTCATGTCTGTGTGGGCTTGGGCCAAACTACGTACAGCTGCATAGCTTTTAGGATGCCTTGAAACAGTTTTTGGCCCTAAAGACCCATTCTACAGCCGAGATTCTTCACTCTTTGCTTAAGAACCCTCAAAAAAATCACAGAATACAAGAATCCTTGTACTACCCTTATAAAGAGGCGTGTTTTTTAAAACTGTTTGGGGGCTTCTTATGCATACCCTTATAAAGGAGTAGTAGTTTTAACTGTTTGGGGGGGGGGGGGTGCTTGCGCGGCCCTAAACCCTAAACCCTAAACCCGATGCAGCCGAGATTCTTCCGCGGAGACGACCCGCGCTTCCGCGCGGAGCTCCTCGAAGGCTGGCTCAGTCGTGGCTGGGCACCTGGGCACAGAAATGCCTAGACCCTGCAAACCCTATATAGGGTTTAGGGTTTAGGGTTTAGCGTTTAGGGTTTAGGGTTCTGTAAACCCTTATAAACCCCTGTAAGCCCTTATCAACCCTGTGAACCCTTGTAAACCCTGTAAACCCTATAAAGACCCTAGAAGCTTCTCAACCTTCCGGGGGTTTTCCTACAGGCCGCATCCTGCCACGACACCTCTTGTGCTTCTTCACTCCTAGTACGAACAAAAAACCTACAGGTTTTGTGAACCCCCCTTGACAGGCTGAGGGTAAAAAACATCTTCAATCCTAAGCCAGCTTTGGCAAAGAAGAAGCCCCAAGCCCTGAGCCCCAAATCCTGAAAGTCCTGAAAGAGTTGTAGTGGAAACAGCCTTGAAGACGTGCATCTTCGCGCATGGGCCGCATGAGCAAAAGCCGAGGTGCAGGAGTGGGTGGGCAGCTCGTCCGCATCGACTCAGATTCCGTCGGAACCCGCATCAACTCAATCCCGTTGGGCTTCTTAGTACATGTTGTTATAGAATCTTACTTGTTTATGACATTGTATTGTGTTATTTTGGAAATTTGCTATGTTGCTATTTGGAAAAAGTGCTATGTGTTGCAACCCTTTGTGCGATGCAAGAAGTGGCCTGTGTTGGAACGCAGTATCACTAAATTGGGCCTGCAGCTCATGATTCCGAACATGCGAGCTGGCCAGACCCCAAATTGTCTATGGCTCAAGCCGTGCCCGATTCACCACGCATCCGTGCAAGGCAGTGTCAGCACGCTAGGCTCACGCACGGCACGCTGAGCGCAAGGCACACATAGCACCTTGGAAGCATCTTAGGGTTTAGGGTTTAGGGTTTAGGGCTTAGGGGCAACTCTGACCCCTTTCCTTTAAAGAAGGGGCGCCATGCACCGAACAAATCGTGGAGCCATGGCCATGGCATCTTTGCTGGCAGTTCTTGGCTTGGCTTGCCAACCACTGGTGTGTCTGGCTTCCTAGGTAGGCCCTTGGGACATTTTGTATTTTCCCTTATTGGGTTTAAGAGGGTCATATTCAGGAATATTTTTCAGAGGGTTTTAAGGGCCATCCTAGCTTCTTGGTTCGCCCAATTGTGCCCGTTTTCACTTTTTTGTTGGTTCAAGGCTCCCTTAGAAAGTACCCAACCTAAAAAAAGGGTGCCCCCCACTAGAATACGGTTACTTAGGGGCTGGGTTGTGAACCTGTAACCTTGTTGGTTCTACACTCTTATGACAAAAAGAATGTTAACCTTTTATGGGCTACTAAGATGATCGAGTCACCAACCTAAACATGGGGTACCCTTCCTATAATTGGGGTCATATTCCCCCTGGTACATGGACCATAAACCCTTGTAGGGTTCATTTAGCCCCCAAACCCCAAACCCTAAACCCTAAACCCCAAACCCCTAAACCCCTAAACCCCAAACTCTAAGCCCTATAAGCAGTGTGGTTCCTTTGGGCCACCCAGGTTTTGGGCGGATGGGCTCAGCAAGGAGGTGCTCCGAGGCCGCGCGTGGCGCTGCGAGCCTCGCTTGGGGAGGCGTTTCAGCTTCTTGGCAGGGTTGTGCGGTGCCCTTTTTTAGGAGGTTTAGGGTTTAGGATTTAGGGTTTGTTTTTAGGAGGTTTAGGATTTAGGGTTTGGGGTAAGGTTCCCTTCTCAAGTACCCAACCCCCAAAAAGGGAAATTTCCCTTATGATAAGATGGTTACTTGGGCTACCAAGGCTTCCGCCCGAGAAAGTGGTAACGGCCGTGTCGAAGGCAGGGTCACGGGTGACCGCCTCCGATGTGGCCGCTGCTGGCGGTTTGAGTCCCTTGCAGACCAAAGGAAGCCTAAGATTGGGGTCATATACCCTATACCTGGGGTCATGCACCCTGCACCACTATAATCCCCATAACGAAGGGTATATGGACCATAAACCCCACCCTAAACCCTCAACCCTTCTAGATTTGGCCCCCCCCCCAAGGTCTGGAAGAGGCGCGCAAGGGCGTGGTAGAGCTTGCGGGCGCGCTTGGGGCAGAAGCCGAGCTAGAGGTGTCCAAGACAGGTGCCTAGGCCCTTGGGATGTTTGTGCATTTTCCCTCATATTTGTTTAAGAGGAGCATATTCAGGAATATCTTTCAGAGGATATAAAGGGTTTTTGTCTCTTTTCCAGTGTATGGGGGCTTACGATACTAAGGGACCCCATAATATCGACCCCAAAACAGTAGGCTTCCCTTAAACAGGACCCCAAAAAATGGTACCCCTAATTTCGGGAAACCCTCATATTGGGTTTAAGAGGATCAAACACAGAAGATTTTCAGAGGGTTTTAAGGCTTAAGGGCCAGCCCAGGCGAGCTCGTGTATCGCTTCCCCTCGGACGTGCAAGGGGCCTTGTCAAAGGTTTCTTCAGCGGCAGCAGCTCGGGAAGCGTGGAACAAAGCGAAGCCGACCGTCTTCACAGCTCTACGAGCTGCTTTCGGCGTGGCCCTCTTTGCTTCGATCCTCGGACCCTATACACCCTAAAATACCCTAAGCCCTAAACCCTATAAACCCTAAAATTCCCTAAGCCCTAAAATACCCAAACCCCTAAACAGGCCCTTGGGATGTTTCCATACTTTCCCCTTCATTGGGGTTTAAGAGGACCACGATCAGGAATGTATGCCCTTGGGACATTTTCTATGTTCTCCCTTACTTGGGGTTTAAGAGGACCATGCTCAGGAGTTTTTTTTCAGAGGGTCTCATAGGGGCCAGCCAAGGATCGCCGTCATCTACACAGCGATCATTGCCATCAGCACCTCCAGCTCAGACCGGGACCGAGACTAGGCCTTTGGAAGATGTTGTGTTTTCCCTTGTTGGGTTTGAGAGGGATAATAATCGGGCGTAAACCCTAAACCCTAAACCCTAAACCCTAAACCCTAAAAACCTAAACCCTAAACCCTAAACCCTAAACCCTAAACCCTAAACCCATCCCAGGAGATGACCGACGAAGAGGTGGAGACTCATTCGGTGGAGGAGGCTTCGACCTCGGTCCGACTCTCTACTACGGCCCGTCGCCTTTCGACGTCATCTTTTACAGACCCTACTACTCGTACCTTGGGGGCCAAATGAGCCTTAAGAAATTTGGGGTCTACATACCCCTTGTATTGCCATGATTCTTATTTAAGGTATGTGGGCCATAAACCCTTCTAGGGTTTAAGTACAAGAGGCAACCCCAAACCCCAAACCCCAAACCCCAAACGCCAAACCCCAAACCCCAAACCCCAAACCCCAAACCCCAAACCCCAAACCCCAAACCCCAAACCCCAAACCCCAAACCCCAAACCCCAAACCCTAAACCCTAAACCCTAAACCCTAAACCCTATCCCCCCCCCCCACCCCCCCCAAGGAACAGCCCCAAGGTATGGCACCGTCTACGATGACTGGCAGCCGCGAAACTCACCGCCGCAAATGGGCTTTTTGGAGTCGGTCTACAGCTTCGTCTTTGGGGACGGGGATCCGACTCTTAGCTTTGAAGGGGGTTTAGGGTTTAGGGCTTAGGGTTTGACATTCAGGTAGGCCCTTGGGACATTTTATCTTTACCTTTTGTGGGTTTAAGAGGATCACGTTTAGGAATATGTTCCCTTTTTGGGGGTTCAGGAGGATCATATTCAGCAGGAAAACCCTAAACCCTAAGCCCCAAACCCTAAGCCCCAAACCCTAAGCCCCAAACCCTAAACCCTAAACCCTAAACCCTAAACCCTAAACCCTAGACCCTAAACGAGGGGTTTTACGGGCCATCCCAGGAATGATGGCCGCTTGGATCGGCAGCTTTCAGCCGTGGCAGCCCTGGCCCGGCGGAATGGAGGAGTTTAGGGTTTAGGGTTTAGGGTTTAGGGTTTAGGGTAGAAGAAGGGGCCCCTAGAAGGGACCCTTAGTCTTAGTTCCCCATATAACCCTTTCCATAGCCCTCATGTAGTCCCCATATACCTAAGTAGCCCCTAGATAACCCCCCAAAACCCCTAAACCCTAAACCCCTAAGGTCCCTAATAAGGGTCCCTCCTGTAGTCCCCCTTGGAGGAGTGCTGACGGCCGAACAGATGGCACCGCTGCTAGACCCACCAGCATACAAGTCCCCGGACGCCACGTACAACGCAACTGAGTAGCTGAATGAGTATACACTTTACACTTTTTGGGATACTAGTAGCCCCCTTGTAGAACTGAAAGTGTACGCTTGTTTTTTCTTTTCTTTTTTTTTTTTTGGGGGGGGGGGGGGCCTGTGAACTCAGCAGCTAAGGGCTTGTTTTTGGGGGTTCTAGGATAATCCCCATAACTCAGCAGCTAAAAGGTCAACGAGAGCTGGGTCTTGCCGGCCGTTTCAAGGCTGAACGCAAGACCCGAGGTGGCGGATGATGGGCACATTGTTTACATCTTCGACGACCTTCAGACCACGGCAGGCAGCTATTTTTTTAAGAACACCAAAAAATGTAGAATAGTAACCCCTATATAGCCCAAAAACATATGGAAGAGTAGCCCCTATAGATTGCCCTAATCGGGAATATAATGCGTGTTTTTTTTGTGTTTTTTCGGTGTTCTTAAGCAAATAGTAGCAGGTGAAGCCTCTTCTCGCAAACCTCCGACGATCTTGGAGGAGAACGAGGTGCCTTTCTCGATGGCGGATGAGGGCAATCTCACGCTGGTCGTCTTGCTAGGCGTGGCCAACCTTATCGGAGCTGCCTACCTGGGTGCCCAGTTTGCAAGTCTCGCTGGCTACCAGCTGGTAGGCTTCCTCGGGGCCGTGAAGGGCTTCTACCCAGCACTCTTGGCTTATGCAGTGGGCTTCTTTGCAGCTCCGGCTATTCGGTTCCTCGGCCTGGGGAAGACGAACGATGAGATTCAGCAGAGGAACAGGAACCGCAAAGACTGGCTGAACGTACTGCGGTCCGGCGCCGTTGATGGAAAGCTAGCCCAGGCAAGGAACTTTCGGCAAGGCATGCGACAGATTGGCAAGGACGACGCTGTCTACAGCACTGCGAAGGAGGCAGAAGGCCAATCCACGCAGGGTCAGTTGGAAGACTTTGATCGCCGCCTGCGAAGCTGAGGTGGTGCCTTGCCAAGACTCTACCAGGATGGCATTTTCGGCCCTACAACCCCCCATAAACAGCCCCATAAACAGGCCCTTTCTCAAGGGGTGATAAGCTCTAACAGCCCATCCTGGTCAGAGGCAGATCTCGAAGACAAGAAGGCTGACAGCCTGGTATAGAAACGTGCATGGCCCATGCGGCACGCAGTGGGCTTTCTGCCTGTCTAGGTTAGGCCCTTGGGACATATTCTATTAGCCCTTGTTGAGGTTTAAGAGGCTATAATTTAGGAATGTGTTTCAGAGGGTTTTGACGGCCATCCAGCAGAAGTGCCCCGGTACAGTTCAATCGTAGGTTCGCAGAGCTCGGGAATGGAACGACCGGAGAACTTTGGGCGACAATCGTTCCTGCACTCAGTGATGGAAGCCTCTTGCAATTTTGTCCGGTTTTTCCTTTCTTGCGCTAGAAAACTGAACTTTTGAAGACCAGCCGACGAAAGCACCGCCTGCATTTAGTGTCTAGTATAGCTTAGGGTTTAGGGTTTAGGGTTTAGGGTTTAGGGTTTAGGGTTTAGGGTTTAGGGTTTAGGGTTTAGGGTGATCAGTACCTGGGTTATCGAGGGGTCCTGTCTCCGAAGCCCTAAGCAAGCTCAGCCACAAGCCCCCCCGACCCTTCCTGCTACAGAGATATACCCAAAGAGCCCAATACCCCTTAATCAAGAATGTGTGTGTGTGTAATCTATATATATATATATATATACATATGTATTTATTTAAATATTTTCTATTCGTTCATATAATATACACACTTTATGCATCATATCAAGGATCCCTATTTAAAGTTAAGGTATATGCCTTCATCAAGAGGTAATGGGGCTCTTTGGGATAAGGTCGCTGAATTCTGAGCAACCTCACCAAGAACCCAAAGAGCCCAATACCCCTTGGTTAAGCGATAGACCTTAATAGATAAGGGTTTAGGTTTTAGGGTTTAGGGTTGAGTATACCTTAATTGATATAAAAGGGATCCTTAATATGTTTTTAAATGCATACTCAACCGTAAACCCTAAACCCTAGACCCTGGACCCTTTATTATTAGCTTAAGTAAGGGTTTTTTGGGCTCTTTGGGAACCAAGGCAACTTCAGCAAGCTGGGCCAGGCGCGAGTTGGATTCAGCTTCGTCGGGGTTAGGGGTTAGGGTTTAGGGTTCAGCATCTCAAGTCCAAGCATTCACTAGTCAAGCAGCTTGTCAAGCGTCGGAAAAAATCCCACCCACCCAAGAAACCCATAACATTGAGAAAATATAAAGTTCAACCAATACTTTCCCGGTAGGCTTAAAGCTCAAAGTCTAGTTGGTCCAAAACTCACAATAGACCCGAAATCGTATGCCCCAAATCCTAAACCCTATGCCCCAAACCCCAAGAATCCTAAACCCTATGTCCCAAGTCCTACAGCCCTAATCCCTATGCCCCAAATAAGAGCCCTAAACCCTTGTCTACCCCGGGTGGAAAAAAAGCATTTGCCGACGAAGGGGGTCAGGGTTTAGGGCCTCTGGGGTGAAAAACACCTAACGACGAAGGGGGTCAGGGTTTAGGGCCCCCCCGGGTGGAAAAAAACCATTTGCCGGCGAAGGGGGTCAGGGTTTAGGGCGCCCCCCGGGTGGAAAAAACCATTTGCCGACGAAGGGGGTCAGGGTTTAGGGCCCCCCCCGGGTGGAAAAAAACCCTTTGCCGACGAAGGGGGTCAGGGTTTAGGGCCCCCCCCCGGGTGGAAAAAGCCATTTGCCGACGAAGGGGGTCAGGGTTTAGGGCCCCCCCGGGTGGAAAAAAACCATTTGCCGACGAAGGGGGTCAGGGTTTAGGCCCACCCCCGGGTGGAAAAAAACCATTTGCCGACGAAGGGGGTCAGGGTTTAGGGCCCCCCCGGTTTTGGTCAAAAATCCAGAAAACAGGAGGCCACCCAGAACCGTCGATTTCACTACTAAAAAATAGCATTTTGAACTGGGGCCGGGGCCGATCCTGGGGTCCCCCTCATTTGGGGTGTTTTGGGGGGGCCCCTGGGTGGAAAAAAACCATTTGCCGACGAAGGGGGTCAGGGTTTAGGGGCCCAAAAAAAAACCGTTTGCCGACGAAGGTCATTAGGGTTTTAATATACATAGTAAGAGAGGGTTAAGTCCGGGTGCCGAGGTTTACGTTGAGCTTCGGGGTTGAATTCTGCGCTAAACGGGATTCGTTTAAGGGGTATACTTGGAGGTTCATGGGTACTTATACCCCTAACTTGTAACCTACTTAGGGGGCTGAGAAGTGCAGTTCTACTTGGGGTTATAAGTACCCTGAACCTCCAAGTACAAGCTCGGATGAGGAGTATAATTATAGGGCCCTATCTAATTCCCTCATTCCCTACTAAGACCCAGGCAGCTTAGGGCTTTAAAATCTTTTCTCGATCCTACTGCAGGACAGCTCCGGGCGTGTTTTCCAGTTTCGCAGCATACCACCACCTTCCGACTCCTGCGAATTGCACAGAGCCTGAAGTGTTACAAGCTCCTTCCACCCCGAACCCTAAACCCTAAACCCTAAACCCTAAACCCCAAACCCGAATCCCTAAACCCTAAACCCTAAACCCTAAACCCTAAACCCTAAACCCTAAACCCTAAACCCTAAACCCTAAACCCTAAACCCTAAACCCTAAACCCTAAACCCTAGCAGCTTCTCATGTCCTAGCACCGTATGCTAAAGTCGACCTGCGTCCCACGCGAGAAGAAATTCCGTCGAGCCTGTACTTCGAGGTTCATTGGTAGTGATAGGCAAGGGTTTAGGGTTTAGGGTTTAGGGTTTAGGGTTTAGGGTTTAGGGTTTAGGGTTCAGGTAACTATACTTATAACCTTCTTGTAAGGTACTTACAACCCCACCTTACCCTACCTTATTAAGAACCGGAAGCCTATGTTGTTGTCGGCTCTTATTGTAAACCCTTAAAGCCTTACAGCATTCCGAATTCCTAGGTAACCTGCAAAAAGGTAGCATTTGTGTTCTTCCAACTACCCATGAACCTCCAAGAAACCTGAAACCCTCTGAAATGTTAGGGTTTAGGGTTTAGGGTTTAGGATTTAGGGTTTAGGGTTTAGGGTTTAGGGTTTAGGGTTTAGGGCCTCACCTTCCTGGACAAAAGGAGGTCGACGGCTCTGCGGCGGACTTCTTCGGCTTTCCGGATCGGCCACCCTTCTACTGTGCGCGAGGCCGGCAGTACCGGGGTGGGCGAGTACCCCTAAACCCTAAACCCTAAACCCTAAACCCACAATCAATTCTAGAAAAAGGGCCCGTGCTAGGGGTTCGAGGCTAGAAGAGCCCATCCTGGGTTCCAGATTGCAGTTCTAATTAGCCCTGTAAACCCTAAACCCTAAACCTTAAACCCTAAACCCTAAACCCTAAACCCTAAACCCTAAACCTCAAACCCTAACTTCTAGATGTGAATAGGGGACGTCTCACCCCATCTTGGGTCTCAGGGGGCGGCGGGCCTGTAGGGTTTAGGGTTTAGGGTTTAGGGTTTAGGGTTTAGGGTTTAGGGTTTAGGGTTACTCCTTTCCTGTGCCCTTCTTCATGGGCTTTTGGGCCTTATGATGATTTGGGGTTCAGGGCTTAGGGTTGAATTGTAATTGATTTGATTAATTGCATTAATTGAATTAATGTAATTAATTAAATTCATTAAAATTAATTAAATTAATTCAATTAGTTAAATTAGCTATAAATGAATTAAATTAATAAACTAATTAGAGGGGTTAAATGAATTAAATTAATAAACTAATTAAATTATTTAAATTATAATTAATTAATTCAATTAATGCAATTAATCAAATTAAGTACAAGTAAATTCAATTAATCAATTAATTCAATTAAGTAAATTCATTAAAATTAACTAAATTAGTTATAAATGAATTTTGTTTATTGTATTTAAGCACCTAGTGGCAGGCCTGCTGCATAAAGGCTTGATTGGGGGGGGGGGGTTAGGGTTTAGGGTTTAGGGTTTAGGGTTTAGGGTTACAAAGGGCCCTTTGTCATTCGTAAGGGGTTCTAGTGTAGAAGAGCCCATCCTGGTCTCCTGGAGCGCGGGCAAGCCAGTGTTTTTGGGGGTTCTGTATTCCAAAGGGACCTTAATAGTTAGAATAGGCTCTCGGGGGGTATTTTATATATATACATATATAGCATAAGTATTTAGGGCCTTGAACCCAAAACCCTGAACCCTGAACCCTAAACCCTAAACCCACACAAGGGCTTGCGACACGGGTGGGAGAAAAAGAACCCACACAAGGGACTACTCTTACCCTAAGGCTCCAGATATCCCAAAGTAGATATTATTTGCAGACTTTAGACCCAAATGTAGGCACTGTTTATATACTTGGAGCCTTAGGGTTAGTATTCTTCCGACCCCTAAACCCTAAACCCTAAACCCTAAACCCTAAACCCTAAACCCTAAACCCTAAACCCTAAACCCTAAACCCTAAACCCTAAACCCTAAACCCTAAACCCTAAACCCTAAACCCACCACAAGGGAAGACTCTTCGTACTTCTTCCGACCCCCTGCGTATACATCGACATCCCCCCCCGTTCGATGCAGTGATCCGTGGCCCCGAGATGTGAATCTTGCGTACCCAAAAGATCCCCAATACACCTTCATGAGAGAATAGACCTTAGTAGCCCTAAACCCTAAACCCTAAACCCTAAACCCTAAACCCTAAACCCTAAACCCTTTCTAAATTCAGGTATATTCCTTGACTAAGGGGCGTTTTGCTCTTTGAGCATAGATCCTTGGGGCCAGAAGACCCTCTACTACTATAATCCCTACTGAGGTGCTATGAACCCTAAATCTATACTACTGTAATCCCTACTTAGGTCTATGAACACTAAAAGTCTGTACTACTATAATCCCTATAAAAGGCACATGAAGCCGATGCGTGGGTGGAAGAACGATGTTGATGCTGCCCGTACTTCGGATGGCCATTTGGGCTCTGAAGTTCCACAAGTGTTCTTGCAGCCTAGGCCCAATTCCTCCCTTTGACCCTACGATTTGCTTAAGAACCCCTTACAAAAATAGAAGATCATGGTCCCTATATTGCCCTTATTAGGATTATTTTTTTGCCTATATTACCCTTATAAGGAAGATTTTTTTGGGGGGGTTCTTAAGCAACTAGCAGTGACTGCTCAAGCTCCACAAGACGAGCCATGCGCTGCGTGGCAGCCGTGCTTCTCCTGAGCGCTCTCGCAGCGCGTTCTGCAGCAGCCTCGGGCGACTGCGCTGAGGCAGAGTCTCCGTCGGTTCCTCAAACCGACCCTGCGCTTGTCATATTAGGGTTTAGGGTTTAGGGTTTAGGGTGTAGGGTTAGGGTTTAGGGGTTCTTCGTGCGACACATGGAAAGCAGGTACGCAAAACAATCCTTTTTTAAATAACTTGTTGTGAAGGGACTTCAAGATGCCTAATTACCTACAACCAACCATCGAACCTGCCGCATGTCTCTTGGATGACGGTGATTGTTGGTGATGGCATTGATAAGATGTAAGAAGTTGCTCTAAACCCTAAACCCTAAACCCTAAGGGGCGCAGCTCGTCACTGGCGTTGCTGCAGCACCCGGGCTCGAAAGGCGCTGTGAGCAAGGCCGTCGGAGAAGAAGAAGATCAGCGGTACACGCGCTTAGTGGAGAACATGGAGAAACTAGGTGGCACTGCTGGCACCGCATTCGAATTCACAAGCATGGGAGGTTCTAGAGGATAGGCGAAGGGCTGTTGTGTGAAACCCTCAGCCTTAGCCCTTTTGTTCGAGAGTAATCTCAGAAACCCAAATAAACCCAAATAAAGCCAAATGAACCCAAATAAACCCAAACAAACCCTATAAACCCAAATGAACCCTATAAACCCCACAAACCCTATAAACCCTAATTGCAAACCCTGCAAACCCTATAAACCCCCTATAAACCCTAAACCCTACCAACAGCTAAGGAAGATCCTGGCCCAAGTTTGGACTTCACAGCGGTCTGGGGGCTCCAAGCAAGCGCCTGGAGACCCGGACGAGTTCGAAGAGGGCCTGGGCGAGACGTCCCTGGACATCTCGATTCGGTAGCGCTAAACCCTACACCCCTAAGCACTGAACATCGCTGAACCCTATAAACGCATGCGAAACGGGTGGGAAAAAAAAACTCAACCCTAAGCCCTACACCCTAAGCCCTAAACCCTGAACCCAAGCGGCAGTGACGCATGGATTTTTTGCTCTGACGCTTGTCCCAGCAACTCTAGAAACCCTAAGCCCTTCACCCCCTCAACAACAGTCGTTTAGGGTTTAGGGTTTCGGGTTAGGGTGTAGGGTGGGTCCAAGTATCTCCTGTACAAGTACCCTAAACCCTAAACCCTAAACCCTAAACCCTCAGCACATGGGCCCCTTGGGCATGCCCTGCAGGTCCCAAAAATCCAGCAGCCTCCTCCAGGAGGGGGTTTAGGGTTTAGGGTTTAGGGTTTAGGGTTTAGGGTTTGGGGTTTGGGGTTTAGGGGCCCGGGGGGACGAAAGGGGAACCCTCAACTTGGGGAGTCAAACATACCCTAGGCCATTCATAATCCCGGTTAAGGCACATGGACCCTAAACCCTATATAAATCCTCAACCCTAAACCCTGAACCCTAAACCCGAAACCCTTTTAGGGTTCAACCTGAGTTCCCCCAGAAAGGAAGGACCAGAAAGAAGGCGCCGCACCACAGACTGGCAGGCATCATCGGCTTGCAACATCCTGATCTTCCAAGATCCTTGACGGCTTAGGGTTTAGGGTTTAGGGTTCAGGGTTTAGGGTTTAGGGTTTAGGGTTTAGGCCGGTTCAACGTCGGGATGTTCCCCCTTGTACTAACAGTCCTTAATAGGGATTATACAGTAAGTACACCCCTCCCCACCCCCCCCCCCCTTTAGAATTCCTAATAAGGACTGTTAAGGGGGAAGATCCTTGAAGGCTAAAGGTTAAGATCCTTCAATAGGGGTTTAGGGTTTAGGTTGCTTAGGGGTTTAGGGTTTCGGGTTTGGGTTTGGGGTCCAGGGTTTAGGGTTCAGGGTAGGCCCTTCAGATGCGTTCTACCTTAAGATTCTAAGATACTGGGTTTAAGAGCCCTTATGCAAATCCTAAGCCCTGGACTGCCATCGTGCTTGCGCAGTTTTTGGTCTTAAACCCTAAACCCTAAACCCCAAACCCCAAACCCTAAACCCTAAACCCTAAACCCTATAAAACTATAAACCCTAAACCTCCAAGGACGTGGACTGGGCCAGGTCGAGCGGCTGGCGCTCGGACGCCGTCCGCAACGGCGAATGCCAGGCAGTCGTGGACTATCTCGACAACGGGGTCGCTCAGAAGGGTTTAGGGTTTAGGGTTTAGGGTTTAGGGTTTAGGGTTTAGGGTTTGGGGGTACCCAAAGAGACCTTATTGCCGTCTGATAAAGGGAAACAACTTTAATTGATAAAAGGGATCCTTAAGACGATTCAGGATTTTTCCTTAATTAAAGGGGTATTGGGCTCTTTGGGTAGGCAAACTATAATTTTTGGGCGGGGGATCCCTAAACCATAAATCCTAGACTTATAAACCCTGGGTTCAAGCGCAAAAAGGATGCGGGCATCTTTGGGGGGGAGGTGCGGTGGTACTCAATCCCTAAACCCTCAACCCTAAACCCTCAACCCTAAACCCTCTAGGTCAGCTCCGGTGTCTTCATGGCGTCCGCGGGCTGCAAACTCACCGCCTACGACGCAAGCGGATGCTCAGGCACCAGCGTGGAGATTGTCGACGCAAGAAACTAGGTTTAGGGTTTAGGGTTTAGGGGTTTAGGGGTTTAGGGGTTTAGGGGTTTAGGGGTTTAGGGGTTTAGGGGTTTAGGGGTTTAGGGGTTTAGGGTTAGGGTTTAGGTAGGCCTTTGGGACATTTTGCATTTTCCCTTCTATTGGGTTTAAGAGGATCATACTCAGGGATATTTTTCAGAGGTTTTTTTTGGGCCATCCTAGGAAACGAGTCCAGGGCCAAAGTACGCCTCCTCAATGACTTCCCGGACACCATTGGCTGGAACGACCAGATCAGCTCCTTCCAGTGCGCATGTTGACCTGACAATGAACAGGAAGATACGGTTTAGGGTTGAGGGTTGAGGGTTTAGGGTTTAGGGTTTAGGGTTTAGGGTTTGCCCTAAACCCTAAACCCAAGAACCCCGCTGTGCTGTGGCTAGTCAGTCGGGTGGCAAAAGAACAAACCCCTAAACCCCTCAGAAACCCTAAACCCCACCGGATGCGAGGCAGTAGACCCCGCGCCCCATTTCACGCATCTCTTGACCGGTGCCTCGCCCTTTTTTTGGGGCATGTAAATTCGCAGGCTGCCCTGTGTCCGACAAGTTGCATACTCAAGATGTCGCATGCGGGACCTGGAGAATTTTGTGAGGAAATGAGCCTTACATATTGTTTTAGACCTCATGTGAATTACATAGCCTTTACTGTTCTTATGGGTATGGTTATTTATGGTGGCCATGCTGCTACGCTGCGGCTCAGTTTGGAAGTTCTAGCCAGCTAACATGTCTTTCCTCTCTTCGAGAAGAAGCCACATAATAAACAAAGAGGAAAAAACAGACTAAACCTGCTGTTCGCCGAGACCCTGAACCCTAAAACCTAACCGCACTACATAATATACAACCCTTTTTGAACCCTAAAACCTAACCGAACTACATAATATGCAACCCTTTTTGCGCGAACCTCGCAGCATGCTGTCAACCTAAGCTGTTTTAAGTAAACGCAAGACGTCCCGAGGCTTTGGAGCTTGGAGTTGAGGGGTGTAGGCTTTAGGGTTTAGGGTTTAGGGTTTAGGGTTTAGGGTTTAGGGTTTAGGGAGAATAGCCAACCTCGTTGCAAGAGGGTTTCGGGTTTTAGGGTTTTGTACTTTGGGGCTCAGGGCACCTCGACTGTCCTCGGTTGAACAGGGTTTGGCGACTAGGCCATGGATTGTTCGGCTAATCCCACATTCTCCGTGCGGGGTAGAGTAGAGGTGGGGTTTAGGGTTTCGGGTTTAGGGTTTAGGGTTTCGGGTTTAGGTTTATAGGGGTCGAACTGCGAAGCGTGTCCGAAAAACAAACCGACTTACATGCGGACCATTCTGAACCACCCTAAACCCTAAACCCTAAACCCACGACATCCACGATCCGCCTGATATCTCATGTTGCTCAAACGGCATTTTGTTGTTTTCACCGTTTTTCCGAGTGTACAGTTTTTTGCAGCTGATGCGCCCCAGTGTTTGAAGCCTAGCATGTGGGAGAATTACATTACCGCCGCTTACGGATGTGCGGTGATCCACGTTCTAGCCGTGCGCGTCTGCCAATGGCAGGGCCTGTCGCACATCAAAGCGGCTTACCAGACTTTTCGACCGACATCACCAGCTATGGTCAAAGATGAGGAAGATGAGGTGCTTCACCGGGTACATGAGAAGCGACAACAGACGTTGAAAGCGACGGCAACACTCTGGTCCCTAGCGGTCGAGATTTTCATGTCGGGCCTCTTTCTGGCGCAGCTTTGTTGCCAGTCCGCGGGCATTCCGCAGTTCCTTGGCGCTTGCTTTCGGGGGGTTCAAGCTTCCCTCATAAACTAATTAACCAGCCCCCCAAAAAAAGGTGCCCTTATCATATGGTTTCTGGGCTACCCAGGTTCTGGCCCCTCTTGATTGCCACCATTTGGGCCACAGTCATCCTGCGCAACCTCAGCACGTCGACCGAGATCGCGCCGGCGCGGTTGAATCGGGATATGACGGTCTTGACCGTGCTTGTGTTCCTTGGGGTCCAAACGAACCCCCCAAAAACATGGGGGCCAGAAGACCCCCTTATAGAATCCCAGTTCAGGGCATGTGAACCCTAAATCCTTTGAGGGTTCATTCGGTCCCCGAGGTTCGGCGCGAGTTTGGGAGTGCCTCGTGAACTCCTTCCCCTGATCAGCATGGCGCGCGTGATGGTAAGCAGCTTCTTCACAGATGCGGCCTTGTCAAACAAGGCCAACCTGGTTTTGACGCCGTTCTACATCGTGTCTTACTGGTTGCAGGGTCCGGAGGACTCTTCTGTGCCTTGGGGGACCCAATGAACCTCAAAATTGGTGTCATATAGCCTGTACTACTATAATTCCTATGAAGGTAATATGAACCCTAAACCCTACACCCTAAACCCTAAACCCTAAACCCTAAACCCTAAACCCTAAACCCTCCTTCAAGGTGGGGGGGCTGCTGATCATCAGCTGCGGTGAGTTGCTTGTTGTCTCATACCTGGCTCTGGCGGTGTCGAACCTGGATGTGAAGGAGCACCTTGGGCACCAAACGGACCTTACAGTTTGGATTATATACCCATATACTATACTACAATTCCTAGTCAAGGTTTCTGAACCTCAAACCCTTTCTAGGGATCATATACCCTATACCACTTAAGGCTTCTGAACCTTACTTAAGCCCTTTCTATCGTTCATGTCGTCCCCCAAGGTACCAGCTGGCAGCAGCGACACTGGAGCTCGAACGCAAGGTCCATGAGACCCAGGAAGCAGAGCGAACAGGAGGAGCCGCACAGCGGCTTTTGACCGTGATGTGCGATGCTTTTGTTACTCGGTAGGCCCTTGGGGGCGTTTCATTTTCTCCCTTCTCTTAGTTGCTGAGTGAGTACACTTTACACTTTTTGGGATGCTATTCTCCCCTCTAGAACTGAAAGTGTACACCTTTTTGGGGGGCTTCTGAACTCAGCAACTAAGGTTATTTGGTGTAAGACGATCATATATCAAGAATATTTGTTCAGAGGGTTTTTAAGTGCCATGCTAGGTTCGACTCACACCTGACCTCAAGATCTTCCAGCCTTCGCGAAGCGTTTCCTAGTAGCTGAAGGAGTACACTTTTGACACTTTTTTGGATACTAGAATCACCTATGGAACTGAAAGTGTACACTTTTTTGGGGGCTTATGAACTCAGCAACTAAGGTTTCAGATCTTCTCATGTGTGGCTTCAGCTCAGCTATGGCAGCGACGACATTGGATGGAGTGCCATTGATTCGGTACCTTGGAGACGACATGAACCCTAAAAGGGCTTGTGGATCACATACCTTGGCTAGGATTTATAGTAGTAAGGGTTTAGGATCACATACCTTACTAGGAATTTTAGTAGTATCGGCTGTATAGGGTATATGACCAGTAACTTCAGGGTTCATATGTGGCCCCCAAGGTACATCAATCCCCCTGACCACCAGAGATTCACCGACTTCATCAAGGAGTCATCTCAAGCGGGAAGTCCCGCACGATCTCTGCAGGTGTGTATCTTAGGGGCTGTGTGGTTAGCCTTGAACCCTCTTTTTTGTCATACAAAGATACATATATCTATATATATATATATACGTATATATATATATATATATGCTCACCCCCCCCCCATGATCTAGGTCGAAAGGCCTTTCGGGCCCATCGAAGCGAGATTTAAACCTAAGTCGGAATGAAAATTAAAAGGCCACTGGCCCCATTCGTAGTAAAATTTTTTAGAAATCTAAATCTGCCAATTAAAAGCCGCACCCTATGAAGTCCTCTTCTGGGGCCTGCCTGTCCGTAACAAAATCTCACAAGAGCTTTATATGCAGAGGTTACAGCCTCAGAAATCCTCATCTGGGCTTCCTTCCTATTTTATTGAGAAAATGCTTCTACATAAGAAGCCCACACCCTACGAAAAGAATTCTATACTTAAAGGCCACACCCTATGAAATCCTCTTCTGGGCCCTCTTAATGAAATTTCAGTAGACTTGTGTCTGATAAAGCCACTGCTTCGTTCGTAATTAACCCAAGTAAAAAACATATTAAGAGGCCCAGCCCCAAGACATCCTCTTCTAAGCCTCATTGATTAATACCTATTTAGAACATTTTTGTTTTTCCCACACCCTGTGAAATCTTTCGCTGGCCCCATTCGTAATGAAACGCAATTTGATTTCATATTGTAAGCCCACACCCTAAGAAATCCTCTTCTGGGCTTCGTTCGTAATTGAACCCAAGTAAAGCAAGTGTATATTCAGAGGCCAACCCCAGGACATCCTCCTCGCAATGAAACCGAGTTAGAATTCTATATTGCAGACCATACCCTATGAAATCCCTTTCTGGCCCCTATTTGTAATGAAGATTAATTAGAATTCTGTATTACAAAGCCACACGCCAAGAAATCCTCATTAGACCTTCGTTTGTAATTAGACTTATTTTCGATTTGCCAAGATGCTTGTATTAAAAAAAGCCACACCATTCTGGGGCCTGTTCGTAACAGAATCTCGTAAGAAGTTTATAATTCTAGGTAAGAAGCCCACACCCTAAGAAGTTCTGACCTAGGCTAGGTTCGTATGTAACTCTTGGACAGAAATTTATATCATGAGCCCCCATTCGTATTTGAATGTACTTACAATTCCATATTTAACCGCTAGACCCTATGAAATCCTCTTCTGGTGCCTATTAGTGAAATGTCAATAGACTTGTATATGATAAAGCCATAGCTTCGTTAGTAAATTAAACCCAAGACAAACAAACAAATTAAGAGGCCCCGCCACAAGACATCCTCTTCTAAGCTTCATTGGTTAATACCTATTTGGAATTCTATTTTGCAGACCACACCCTATGATATTCTCCCCTGGCCTCGCTTCATACTACAATGTTATTTGAGGTTTGTATTAAAACGTCACACCCTAAGAAATCCTCATCTGGACTCGTTTGGAATTCCACTTAAATTGAATGTTAAGTTTAGAGGCCACACCCCTTTGGACAGAATTTAAAAGGCCACACCCTAAGACCTGTGTATGGTAAAGCCACAGCTTCGTTCGTAAAACCAAACCAAGTAAAACAATTAAGAGGCCACGCCCTTCTAAGCCTCATTCGTTACTACCTCTTTGGAATTTTATTTTACCGACCACACCCTGTGAAAGTCTCCTCTGGCCCCGCTTCGTAATGAAATGTAATTTGAGGTTTGCACTAAAACACCACACCCTAAGAAATCCTCAACTGGACTTCCTTTGTGATTCCACTTAAATAGACGTTTAAATTAAGAGGCCACACCCCAAGACATCCTCTTCGAAGCCCCACTCTTTTTTAAGTCCAATTAGACTTTTGAATTGCAGGTCCACATCCTCAAAAGAACCACACCCTAAGAAACCCTCTCTATTTCTTTTTTTTATTACTTTTCATATTAAGACGCCACATCCCAAGACATCCTCTTCTAAGCCTCATTCGTAATTAAATCTAATGGAACTTTACATGTTAACGCCACGCCCTGCATACCGAATAGGCTGAATTGAAAAAAAACGAATGGTGGGTGTGTTTGTGTGCTTTTCTCTGTGTGTGTGCAAGGCAGTCACATTAGCAGAAACAACGTATAACAATACACATTCTTTATACAAGAAAAGCATTTTTTGCAAAATTTGCTTAAAAAAAAAACCCAAAAATCCAAAAATCCAAAAATCCAAAAATCAAAACCAAAACCATGGAGCCGGGAGGCCGCCTTTTTTGGATTTTTTGGTTTTCTCGAGGTTTTTTTGGTTTTTTTTGGAAAAATCCAAAAAAAACCATGTGTTTTTTTGGATTTTACTTGCTCCTGGCCTCAAAAACCTAAAAAACACATGGTTTTTTTTGGATTTTGAGTGAAAATCCAAAAAAAACCATGTGTTTTTTTAGTTTCTGAGACCAGGAGCACCTGAAATCCAAAAAAACACGAGGTTTTTTTTGGATTTTCACTCAAAATCCAAAAAAAAACCATGTGTTTTTTAGGTTTTTGAGGCCAGGAGCAAGTAAAATCCAAAAAAACACATGGTTTTTTTTTGATTTTTCCAAAAAAAACCAAAAAAACCTCGAGAAAACCAAAAAATCCAAAAAAGGCGGCCTCCCGGCTCCATGGTTTTGAATTTTTGGATTTTTGGATTTTTGGATTTTTGGATTTGTGTCAAAATTTGCAAATTCTGCAAAAAAGAAGTGTTTTTTGCATACAATTCTGTGTTTATAAGCCTGTCCTATGCAAATAATTCATAGACATGTTTACCAAGTTGCATTTTCCTGTGTTTTTTGGGTGTTTTTTTATGTGGTGATGTGGAAGTAGTGCTAAACACACGCGTTTTTCACTATTTACAGGTTTTCTCGCATAGGACTAGACGTGCAAAAACAGGACATCGCCTAGCATAGCCAGCATGTCATTTTAATCGGTGTTTACGAGGGTTTTTATAGGGACAAAGCAAAACCTAGATCATGGGGGGGGGGGTGACCATATATATATATATATATCATTCTATTACAAGGTAAAAGGTGAACTATCTTCTATAGGGTGTTCAGCCCCTCAGTCTCCAGGTGAGTATGAAGGACTCCGGTGGAGTCGTTTTCAATGTCGAGCTCTTCCACGTCTCGGTGCCTGGCCTACGGACAGGCACGGAGCACGAGCATCTGCTTGGAATCACCCAAAACTCACAGAACCTTGGAGACCAAATGAAGCTTAAAGTTGGGATCACAGACTGTACATACTGCTACAATAATTCCTTTTTAGATTTTTAAGGTTTCCCTAAACCCTAAACCCTAAACCCCTTTAGGGTTCCCTTGCGTTCCCAAGGAAGGACAGCTTTCCCACCGAGCGGACGGCGCGTCTAGAAAGGGGCCTCGAGACTTACTTCGCCTTTACTTGAACTTTAAACTTTTTGGGTTCCTAAACCCCAAACCCCAAACCCTAAACCCTAAACCCTAAGCCCTAAGGAGAGGGCAGCAGCTGCGGGAGCAGACTGCACCAGAAGCCACAGTGCCTCCTCGCATGCCGTGAGCCCCTTGAGGACGACAGGAGCCCGAAAAGGGTTTAGGGTTTAGGGTTTAGGGTTCAGGGTTCAGGGTTTAGGGTTTAGGGTTTAGGGTTTAGGGTTTAGGGTTTAGGGTTCATATTGCCTTAATAGGAATTGTAGTACTACAGGGTATATGGGGCTTATGGTTCATAATATGCCCTTACTAGGGAACTATGTGTAGTGTGGGGTACATGACCCCAATTTTGAGATTCTGGTCCCCAAGGTCATGGTGCAAATCCATCCGACGCTGTTCCAGAACTGCTGGACATGCGGCACATCTTGGGTTCCTTGGGCCCTTTACCGTTTTCCCCTTTGTGGGATTTAAGAGGATTACATTCAGGAATTGTTCAGAGGGTTCCCTAAACCTCGAACCCTAAACCCCAAACCCTCAGCCGCAGAAGAAGAGCTAAACCCTAAACCCTAAACCCTAAACCCTAAACCCTAAACCCTAAACCCTAAACCCTAAACCCTAAACCCTAAACCAGCCGAGGTTATAAGCTGGAGAGCCAGGGGAGCCCAGACCGCCAACACCCGGGCAGCAACTCGCGGGAGTCGCGTGGCAGCCGGAGCACCTCGGGGACCGAATGAACCCTAAAATTGGGGGTCACGTCTCAGGGTTTAGGGTTTAGGGTTTAGGGTTTAGGGTTTAGGGTTAAATTGGGGTCACATACCCCATACCACTATGGTTCCTATTATAAGGTATATCCTGTTGGGGCTGTACTACGTTTATTCCAACTAAGGCAATATAGGGGTCGAAGTACGAATCATATTCCCTTATGGTCCCTGTATATTTTGACGATAATGACCCCCAAGACCCTGTCCTAATTGTGAAGGCCCCTACAGTAATTTGAACCCGAAACCCTAAACCCTAAACCCTAAACCCTAAACCCTAAACCCTAAACCCTAAACCCTTTCAGGGTTCCTTTCGTCCCCAAGGCAGCCGTAGCAGCCGAAGCGATCACCTCGTCCCGCTGCGATCTCTGGAGACAGCTTGGCTGGTTTAGGGTTTAGGGTTTAGGGTTTGGGGTTTGGGGTTTGGGGTTTGGGGTTTGGGGTTTGGGGTTTAGGGTTTAGGGTTTAGGGGGCCTTGGGACACGTTATGTTTTCCCCTTATTGGGTTTAAGAGGGTCATATTCAGGAATATTTTCCAGCGGGTGTTCAGGGCCATTCTAGCTTAGCTCATCATTTTTTTGGAGGGGGGTCATGCACCTCATACTACTCGAATTCGAGCTGGGGTTTTAGGTTTTTGATTCGGGTTTGGGGTTTAGGGATTCGGGTCATACATACCCTATACGACGAAAATCCCTATCAGTGAATATGGCCCATAAACCCTTTTTGGGTTTCCTTGAGTCTCCAAGGAAAGTGAACATCGGTATCGATGTACACACGCTTGACGAGGGCTTTCGACTTCAGTCCATGCTGATGACTTTTGCTTCCGACCCGGAGCGGTTTAGGGTTTAGGGTTTAGGGTTTAGGGTTGAGGGTTGAGGGTTGAGGGTTGAGGGTTGAGTAGGGTTGAGTAGGGTTGAGTAGGGCTTTGGGTTTAGGGTTTAGGGACCAGGAGCACGGACCGAACTTGATGGACTGGATCCAGCCACACTACCGGGACATGGTCTACAACCATATTCAGGATCATGCCAATGCTTGCTACCTTCACCGGCTGGGCAGTTAACCTTTAACTTTTTTGGGTTCTATATGGTCTATTTACAAGTAAAAGGTTGGGTAGTTATTATAACCTTTAATCTAACTTTTTTTGTTATATATATATAGTCCTATTTACAAGGAAAAGGTTAGCCCTTTTTTGGGCTAGCGTATTCAGCCCCTAAGGCTATGCTGGGAGAGACTGTAAGCAGCCCTCGCTGCGGGGGATCAAGTTTCACTCGCCGATCGCCTCTGCAAGAAGCGTCTTGGTGGGAAAGCTGGGTGTTGGCTGCAGCTTGGGCCGCTCTTGGAAGCACTCTCTTGTATTTCTGGTCCTTGCCGAACCTTAAACCCTATAACCCCTAACCCTAAATTGCCCTAGCTATACCCATCGGAGTGAAGATGTCTGAAGTCGGAGCCGGCAGAAGACCCAGGTATCTTGGACACGGACAAGGGACACCCCGAGAGCGGGAGTGATGATGGTTCAGGGACGTCATGTGCAATGCACATTGAGCTGGAACTGACCCAGCTCTTCGCGCATTAATCTTTGTGGTACTTTACTGTAACTTTAGATCCTTACCTTTTTTGGGGCTTATTGGGTTTCTTATTAAGGCAGCTAAAAGTTTAATTTATAGCTACCCTCCTGAGTGCAGCCAAGTCAGGGGTTTTCCATTTTCAGCCTTGCCACAGCTGAACTGTTCGAGACGTCGCAGCCGGCTCGGCTAAAGGTCTTGAATCTTGAACGGCGATTGCAGGTGTCACGGAGACAAATGATGTGCATGGACCTGAAGCTTTGTCTCCTAAACCCTAAACTTGGGATGTTCCCCCTTACGCCCTTGTGCTGACAGTCCGTAGCAGGGATTATCGTATATACTCCCCTGCTATAATCCATCAAGGACTGTTAGTAGAAGGGGGAACATCCCAACCCTAAACCCTAAACTCTAAACCCTAAACCCTAAATGCTAAACCCTCAACCCTAAACCCGAATCTGCTGCCGAACAGACGGTCTGTCACGAAGCCAACCCGACTCGCAGTGCGGTTGCAGGGCTGCTCTGTAGGAGTGCGGCTGCACTGTTGAGATTTGGGTTTAGGGTTTAGGGTCTAGGACTGTAGGTTGGGATGTTCCCCCTTATACTAACAGTCCCTAATAGAGAGTATCATAGGTGGGGGGGGGGGGGGGGGGGTACTCAAACTGTATCAAAATCATAGAATGTTGAAATAGATCAGTATATAGACCTTACACACTGTACACATAAGCAGAAACCATATGGATTGTAAATGGTGCGAGACGGCAGCACGACGGTCACATCTAAGAGGACAATTCTGCAAGCAAAGCTTAGACTAGGTACTAGCGGCGCCGTTGACAAATCGAAGCTCGATTAGAACCCAGCCTTGTAAACCACATACACACCCTAGGGTTCAACCCTAGGCCCAAAACTCTAAACCCTGAACCCTAAACCCTAAACCCTAAACCCTAAACCCCCACGGCCCCGCCATGGAGGTGGCATGAGCACACTGCCCACAGCGCTTCTACAGGCTCGGGCCCGTAAAGTCGGCCACGGTTTAGGGTTTAGGGTTTAGGGTTTAGGGCAGACCCGGGAGCTCCAAACCCTAAACTCTTCTGGCTGGCTCTTAGGACGTTAACCCTTTGAATCTTGTAGAAACTGCAATTTAGGAGCGTAAACGTTAAGCTTTAGGAGGGGCTCAGAAGTCAGCCAAGAATTCTTTTTTCTAATCTTTAGGACCCTTGGGATGTTGACTATTTTTCCCTTATTAGGCTTAGGTTTGAGAGGATTACCTGATGTGCAATACAGGGGCCTTAATAATTAGAACAGGGCTTTTTTGGGGGGGTTTCGTCGTATATTTACAAAGGGACCATAAGGGAATACTCCCCGTAAGTATTCCCAACCATCTTAAACCTTAAACCCTAAACCCTAAACCCTGAACCCTAAACCTTAGTAAATATTCCGACCGCCTATAGTAAAAGGAGGCCGAGTCGCATGGTGCCCGGCTGCGTGGTGGTGTTCGCGTGGCCTCGACACAGCGCCTGAGCTCGGGCGCCCTAAGCTCGGAAGGCTAGGGTTTAGGGTTTAGGGTTCAGGGGTTAGGATTTGGGGTTTTGGAGGACTTTGTTTTCGGTCTCTTAGCTATAGGGGCTGGGTAGTTGAGCTTTAACCTTTCTGGTTATATATAGATATATATGTCTATCTATATACATCTTCAGATATATGTTATATATATATATATGTTATATATATATATATGATCCTATTACAAATCAAAGGTTAACCTTCTGAGTGGCCAGGGTATTCAGCCCCGAAGGATTTGGGAAGGTGTATAGTGGTGCTGGCCAGAAGAACAGAGCAGGGTGCGCTATGTACGAATTGTGTATCGTCTTGCCCTAAGCCCTTAGCCCTACTTGGAGGTTCATGATACTTACTCACCACTTAGAACTGTACTTATAACCCTACTTATACTACCCCTAAAGGGCCTTATAGGGGTTATCCCAATTATAAGTAGGGTTATAAGCCCAGTTATAAGTGGTTATTAAGTCCCATGAACCTTCAAGTAAACCCTAAGCCCGAAACCCAAGGCTCGTATGGCGCTGTCGGTTCACGATGCTTTGCTTGCATGGGATGGGGAGGAGGGGGGCTTACAGAAAAAAACTGCTGGACTCCCCCAACCCTCCCCCCAATTCTTAGGGTATAGGGTAGGGTCTTGGGGTTTTTTGTTGGCGGTGAAATTCGGAAACATGGAACCCGAACCCGCAAACCCAGCAAAATTAAACCTTAAACCCAAGCCCGAAGAAACTCGAAGCGCCCCAATACCCGGCACTTGGAGGTTCTTGGTATGTTTAAACTCAGTTATGACTGTATTAGTAAGCCCGAAGTCCTGCAAGCAGGTTATAAGTAGACTTATAGATAGGGCTATAAGTAACCGTGAACCTCCGAGTAGCCCTAAACCCTAAGCCCTAAACCCTAAACCCCAAGACCTAAGCCCTAAACCCCAAGCCCTAAACCCTAAGCCCTAAACCCTGAGACCTAAGCCCTAAGCCCTAACCGCCCGAATCAGCAGGTGCTTGGCTGCTCCGCGGCGTGGAGGGGCCAGCAGCTCTCCACGACACTGCGGAGGTCTGGCACTGCCAAGCCCTATAACACCCCCACTCGAAGGTTCATGGTACTTATGAACCAATTATGAGGGTTTAGGGTTTAGGGTTTAGGGTTTAGGGTTTAGGGTTTAGGGTTCATTCCGACAGGAGGAGGCGGCGAAGAGGGCACCGGATGCGTTGGGCGAGTTCGACGCGGTCATCGTGGCGAGCTTGGTCTCGGCGAGGGTCTAGATTCTCTGGGTTGGGATGTTTCCCCGTTATGCAAGCAGCTCCTTAATGGGAATAAAAAAAGGGTGTACTATCAATCCCTATGAATTAAGGACTGTTGGGATAAGGGGGAACATCCCAAACCCTAAACCCTAAATCCTAAACCCCAATCTGGGCTAGTTCTAGGGGGTCAGGGCATTCAAGCTCACTGCGCAGAAAGGGTTTGCAGGGAGGGGCTGGATGCGTTTAGGGTTAGTAATCCCGGGTTTAGGGTTTAGGGTTTAGGGTTTAGAGTTTAGGGTCTAGGGTTTAGGGTTCCCTGCCAGAGATCCACTCAACCTTACGGTGGGTTTAAGGAAGCTTAGCATCCAGTGGTCAAGGGCTCAAGGGTTTTGGTGGCTTCATAGCCTGAGTTTCAAGCATCAAGAGCCCTAAACACCAATGCCAGCGTGCTAGGCCACAGGTTCTCCTAAGGTCGTTGAAAACCCTAAACCCTAAACCCTAAACCCTAAACCCGATGATGTGGTGGTTGGGATGTTGCAGCTGGAGAGCATGGAGTCTCTGGCGGAAACCTGTAGGACCGGCTTGCCTAGAGGTGTGGACGTGTGTGGAAAGTTGGGACAGCTGCCCCTCAACATGGAATCTAGCTGTGGATCGATGTGCTGGTGGTTGCTGCAGTCGGGTTTTTCTATCGTTAGGATCTATGTGGTTTTTGGGTTGCTGCGGTTGATGGGGGGGCAGATGTCAGATGCAGAGTAGGAGAACCATGGGCAAGCTACAAAGCAAGCTAGCCTGGAGGATACTGGGGGTGAACCGGAATGGCCACCCTGTAGAGAGCAGTTGAAGGACAGGTTTCTGCGTTGTATGCTTCCAACTGGTCTGTTGAGCTGTGTGTTCCGAGTGGCAACTGCTCCAAACCTTGTTTGCTGTGTGTGGTGCAGGGCTTGAAAGGCCATTGTACAAGAGCTTCCGACAAAGCCTGGCCGTTAGTCTAGCACTTTGCACACGTGTGAGAACAGGCTACTGAGCTGCATCGAGCGATTAAGCGATAGCGTTGTGGTTTGAGTACTTTGTTGTATGGTTTGATATCTCATGCAGCTTCAGTGGTGACTTGAAGCCTCTCCTGAGTCCGGCAGCAGGTCGTTGTGTTTCTATTGTGTTGCTGGTTGGGGCTGTTGACTCAGCTGTGGACTTGGGGGTTCCAGTAGTCTTGATTTTGGCATAGCCGACGGTGAACGAGTATATAGTATTTCCAGACATTCCCCTGCAGAGTGTCCGGCAAGGTCAGCTAAGCGGGTGGCAAAAAACCGTCTTGTTGTTGCCGAATCAGGTCAGGCCGGCTTAGGCCTGATTATGGGTTGTAGGCTAGGCTGTTTATGGGGGGCTTTTCTTTGGGTTTATAAGACGACCCTAGAGCCTAGACCCTATAGACCCTAAACCCTAAGCCCGAAACCCTAAACCCTAAACCCCAAACCCTAAACCCTAAACCCTAAACCCTAACCCTACACACAGCCCTAAACTTTCCAGCAGAGGCCACAGACGTAAGCGCCTCGATGGCATCCTGGCACCGCGCATCTGCCGGGCTTCCGGAGCGGGCCTTGGGGTTCAGGGTTTAGGGTTCAGGGTTTGGGGTTTGGGGTTAAGGGTTTAGGGTTTAGGGTTTAGGGTTGTGTCTTAGTTGGTGTTTCCCGGCAGTGTTCGAAGAGGCCTGGATGCAAAAGGTGTTCCCCGGTGTTCCCTAGGCCTCGGTGTATGCAAACAATACTTACTCTAGGAAGCTTTGTCGCCTCAGTCTGAGCACGAAGTGATGATGCGCGGTGAAACCCTAAACCCTAACCCCTAACCCCTAACCCCTAAACCCTAAGCCCTGAATCGATTTGAGAACTCAAGCGGGCCGCCGTCCCTCAACTTCTCAACCGGTTGTGAATGTTCACCACCCTGGTAAGTAGGTAACCTTTAACCTTTTTGCATCCTTAAGTACAATTACCGAATCCCTCCTCATCAGTCGTTGCCTCTTCCCCCGGGCTTTCCGCCTGACTTCTGAATCTTTAATTTGCACGCTCGACGCCGGGGACTTGCTGTGCACACGTCGCGCTTTAACCTTTTTGGGGTAATATAATCCCCTTGTAATCCCAAAGCTTAACCTTTAATTCCCCCAGGTTACTGGACAACTAAGCCACCGTACGCGAAGGATGTGCAGGGGAACTTGTAGGCCTGAAGGTATATAGATATGTATAGACCTGTATAGATATGTAAATAATATTCTTATGTTTCATAAACTTGTTGATTTGTTATCATGCCTTTTGTATACGTATCTGCTTAATATACACAAACACGTGTACATACGTATATGCGTACCGTACATACACATCCACGCCCCCTTCTGCCCTTAACCAGGGACCCAAACCCTAAACCCTAAACCCCTAAACC